ATAATTCTTTGCTGGAGCGGGCAAGCGCGGGACTGGAAAGTCTGTCCCGTGCAGGCATCTCACATCTCTCTGTCCTTAAATAGCGCCCCCTGGAGTTAAAAGTGTCATCTGTTATTTTTTAGGGTTCCTAACCCGTTTTATCTTATCAGGCATTATAACATGATATCAAGAATCAAATGTCTAAACCGTTATCTACGGAAGTTGAGAGCGGTCGTATCCCTTCATACTTTTTTACAGTGGTTTTCTTGAGACAAAAAAAAAGTTAATTTTCTCATTATCTAAAGATAATGAAAGCCGTTATCTCATGATAACAAGAGGATCATTTTCTCAGCTAAAGACGTTTTCTCGTCATAACGAGGTAGTTGGTGTGTGTTAAAACTGATTACATCCTTCACAACAGCAGGAGAGGATTTTTAAGTATAAGTCATGGCAGCGTATAAGTAATGTTAATAATTATGTGTTTGATGATTTGCTTCCACTTATGATTTATAAGCAATTGGACCTATGCCTAAGGTGACTTAGTGCCGGGTGTTTTCTGAAAAGCCCTGCTGTTACGCCTGTAAAAGGTAGAAGATGCATTACCCCCAAAATTAATCCAGATTATAGATTTTATAAAAAAAAAAAAAAAAGTCAGATTTGTTTCTACTGTATTTCATGCAATCCAATCATCCACCATGATCTGACAATGAGTTAAAAGAAAATGGAAACAAAAAAACTTAATGGTTTAAACGTGATAACAAGATAGTTATGTAATTATCTCGAGAAGGAAAAGTAAAAAAAAATTTTTATTACGACTGCTCTCGACTTCCGTAGCTGTCGATTGCTTAATAAGCAAATAATTTTTTTTAAATATCATGCTGCCAATTTAATTCCAATTGCTCTTATTTAGCTTAAAAGCTCATTTAATTATTCCTCAATTGAAAATCCATCATGAATTGTGTCACCATTGTATTATGCTGTTATTAACGGATTTCAACCATGTTAACTTGTCTTTTCTTCTTTATATACATAATAGCTATTGAGTTTAGTTGAGTTACACCAAGTTATTTAGGTGTTTTTCACTAAAATATGTTTTACCTGGAGTTGAATTTTTTTTTTAAATAAATTCTCACATTTTAAAGGGACTTTATTCCATGTGTATGCAGTTACCGTTTGACCATGATTTGAGCTTTAATAAAACTTTAATTTGTTGCTCTGACACACAGCAACACATGACTGTCTGAAAAATATTTGATCAAATATTAAATACCATAAATGCATACAAATGAACAACAAGGGTGATTAAAAGGCCCCAGCACACTCTGGTTTTGAGGACTAGGGCTAATAACGCTGATATTACCTGACCCACATCAGCTATTAACTTCCTCCATGAAGGGAATATGTTTAATTTTCCTAACATAGAATAACCAGATTTAACCATTTCTAAATTAAAACCTTTAAACATACCTTATGCCTGTCATGGTTTTTAAGTATCAATATTGGTTTTAGAATAAAAGTCTATTCCTCTAAATAAGCATTAACCAGAAAATGTACAACTTAACAATGAGACACAAACAACAAATATGCTAGACGTGTACACAGAGGAGTGGAATTTGGAACTTGTGCAGCAGGACTTTACAGAATACATTTCATCCAGTGGAGGAATCAGGAAAAGATGATGCCATCAGTTCAAAGTGTAAGAAAGTGGAAAAAAAAAAAGCCTTTAAATAGGAATTAAGTCGGGTGTGTGCAGGGTGAGGATGGGGATCAGTTAGTGGACTTTCCTTTTTCTGGACCGGTATCTTCTCTGTCTTTGTTTGTAGAGGTGTTGGAAGTTAATGAAGAGTCCTGGAGGGAAGAAGAGCTTTTGTTACAACGCAGCTTAATAAACAAGGTTCTTCTCATTCCCAAAAGGCCAAATAAATTAATTCTGAGTGAATATTGAGGTCTTTTGCCCATCAGCTGATTTTCCTTTAAGTTTATATCAGAGTTTAATTTTTTAGTCTGATAACTATTATCATTATTACAATAAATATATTCCCTTCCCTCTGCTGTCTGTCCTGTTTCATTTATAAAGCTATAATTATAATAAATGATAGTAATTATTTTTAGTTTAATTTCTTATACCCTGCCTGTTCTTTGCATTGGAGTCCCCCCTGCTTTCACCTATTTTTACAGCCAATTTCATCGTCTCACAACAAGTCTGCTGTGGAAATGAGACATTATGTCTCAATTAAATTCACCTCTGTAGAAAAATAAATATGAATTAGAAATTCAGGAGTGAAAGCAAAGTTGCTGTCAAAATATTTTCTAATAAAATCCATTCAATTTAAAGACTTTGCCCTTAAAGGGAAAAGTTTTATTTTAGATTCTCTAGAGGATTTTTTGCTATATTTAAACCACCCACAATGAATTTGCTTAAACGTTAACCGGCGATCTTTGTTTGTGGACTTCTTACCCAGAAACATGAGGACCAGGAAGAGCTGCAGAGTGTAGGAGAAACTTAAAGAGTGTCCGAGGACAGAGGGAAGCGGGATGCTGAACAGACGCGTCTCATCAAAGATGGGCAGGGACTGGATCACAGCCACCGCTGCAAACAGCAATATAGCAAAAAACTACATCAGCAACAGTTCTAAAACGCCGCTGACAGAGACTTCGGCCACTGTAGGTCACAAACCTTCAGCTACAACGCCGAGTGGGTACAAAGGGATCCACAGGCTGTATCTGAGCCAAGTTAACAGCTTCCACTCTGTGCCGATACAGGCCAACATGTAGAACGGATATCTGACACAGAGAGAGAGGAGCTGATGTTAAACATACAAAACAAAAAACACACGGAGGCCGACTAGAGAACATGGAGATGATCGGAGCAGACCTGAAGATTTCAATGGAGCTCCACAGGTAGAACACAAAAAACACCACAGCCTTGTTCTGCATGTCCTCCAGGCTGCCGAAGATGACAAACAGAATGACGTTTCTCCCTGCCACCTAGAGAAGACAGGACCTCATTATAACCCTACATGTGTGAACCCAACATTTCAACAAGGATATCTGTGTGCATAGTAGAATCCTTAAAACTTTTATTTTCCCACCAAGCCACCAGCAGAGGGTACATTCTTTAAAACCCAATTATTCCTGCTTAAAAAGGTCCAACACTGATGAGTTTTACTGTTATTATGCAGCATTCCTCCTAAAGCCAGTTTGTTTTCCGCCTTGTACTAAATAGCCGAGACTGAGACGTTTTCAAAATGACACTAGAAACTGTTTTCTAATCGTTGCATGTTGGAAGAAAGCGTTAGCCGCTGGGTGCACAAACCTAAAAAACCCCAGAAATTTTCAGTTTAAAAAATATTGTGGAGTGCAATTCACCCAGTATAATATCTCAACATGGGCACCAAACCCTCTTCCTCATCTAATAAACGGAGTCTGACAGCCAGAGTTGAACGCAGGTTTTAGACTGTACCGTGGTCACCACCTCAATGGAAAAATGGAAAAATTTAATGTAAAGATCCAGAAGGGTTTAAACTATAATATCCTGAATGTGTCTCACTGAGGGACAGTAAATTATATTCTGATACTATGCTATATTTAGATAAACCAGACTAACTGTGAGTTTAAATGTTCAATGAAAACCCCAAGTCTAATCCTTCCCAAACTGATTCCAAAGCTGAGTTTAAAATCGGCATCAGAGCCAGCGGTCCTTCACACACGACTATGCCAAGAGAAGGCCGCTGCAGACGGGCTGCGGTTAGCCCTGGCTGCCGTTAGATTCGGAGGTCCGCTGGTTGCCGCGGTCCTCTCAACTTAGGAAATTGTTTTTTTAATTACGCATTAAATCGGTAAATAGACCATATAGTGACGCTTTAAAGTATAATATTCTCGCCTCAAATGATCTTAAAACTTACTTTTATTGAACAACAGCAACAGAAAAGAGAACTTTAACTTTCCATGGAGTGCTGTGTTGAAAGCTGCTGCTGCTGTTCAATAGTTGTTGCCATCTTCCTTTTTGTGCTTTCTCCAGCGTTGTGCAGCTTTGTCGTCACGCCCTCAAAACCCCGCCTGCTTTGCATCCAGAAATTCAAAACACATCTCTGCTTTGTGATTGGCCCGCCAGTTCTAGGGCCTGGGGCATTGATCGAGGCTAGACCACTCGCAGGCAAAAAGGATTTTGGCCGCTGGCGGGTAGGGCTAGTTTACTAGGGTAATATTAAAGGAATAGTACACCCAAAACATGATTAGCCTTCATTTTCTACCCTCCCCCATGCTGAACAACA